TAATATCTAAAATTTATTCTATGTACTATCTGTCATGGATACCGTTAGGCCCAAGACGCATTAATTGTCTTTGGTAAAACAATATTTAGCTCTATGTCGTAAGTATACGCATGTATTAATTACATTGTAATAATACAACTTTAATGGATAGAATCGCAAATGTATTACATAATTTCAAAACTCGACGTTTTGAGTCTTATGAACAATCGTGGTCGGAGACAGTGCCACATCAAAGTTGACAGACAATAGTTAGTTGCCTTATACGAAATAGTTTTCTTAAATAGTCAAACTTATAAAGAACAGTGGTTATATGAATGCATTCTTTAAATAAATTACACATAACTCGTGCAATCTTCTTTCTTCCTCTTTCTCTATATGTGCATTAAGAAACGGGTTAAGATAACTAAGCTATGTAGGTATGGGATTAACAAGCCTCGCGCATTATCGCAGATATGAAACCTTTTCTGGGTCTGATACAAGTTGTACCCCTTGTAAAAAACTATGATCTGTGTTGAGACACTGAATAATACCTAAGGTCGCTTATTTTAATGAAAATATTTTGAGGTCTGTTTCAAACATAATTAGATGAAAGAGTTTGCCTTATTATTATGAAGTATAGATGTGGACTAGACTCTTGATAAGAGGCATCAGCTATTTAATGCGAGCGTGCGGTGGACGTGAACCGCCCTGTCATATCTTATCCAAACGCATATTGTTGTGACGGTCTGTTACTGATATTAACTCAAGGATGATTTACGTTGCGATTCTCCTATCTACATACCAGCCACAAACCTTTTTCCAAAACGAATTCCTAACTTTTTTTTTTTTTTTTTAAACTCTTCATCTATCTGCAATCAGCCTCTTGGCTTTTATCAGATTTTATGGGAAATGATGGCAATTAGGGAACGCAAATCCAACAATTTTTATTCCCTCCGTAATTTGTAAACTGTCAGACTGCGGCAAGTTTCGCCCTTTTTAGCCGATACACACTGTCCATCGTTTCCAAGAGGCCCGAAGCTAGGGGGTTGACGTGTTGCTGAAGTCTCATTTTGTATCGCACGGTTGATCTTTTAATGTCTTCCTCGACAGTGGCAATTCCCAAATATTTATGGACTTCAGTATTTCGTGTTAACCACAGCGCACCGCTCATATTTCGCAGTGTTTTGCTTTGTAGCCGCTGCAGGATTTCGATATTAGAGCGGCTTGCTGACCCCCAGAGCTGTATCCCATAGAACCATATTGGTTTAATTACAGTTTTATAGATGAGGAGTTTAAATATATTTACGACAGTATTTAAAAATCTAAAAGTTTAATTGAAATTTCAATTTTCGAATAGTAAGATCGACATTTCGATTTATTTTATTTTTTATTTATTTATTTTAATTTTGCTCTCAAACATCACACATGTTACAAGGAGGAGAATCAGATACTTATGACAATATGTTATAGAAAGGATATACATGTGTGAAAATAACATGAGAACCAGATCCATGCAACCTCACAATTGAGTAGCGCGCAATATCGCCAGATCCCAATCCCGCTAGAACTCGTGCCATTTTTCGAGATCAATCCCGAAACGACGAGATCTCGTCACTCATAAAAAAGAGATGAATCTATATGAGTGTGGTCCCCCACACTCCCGCAAGAGGTAGCTGTTTACAGTTTTCTTGTAATGTATTGCGCACGCTGGTGCCAACCAGTGACCAGCCTGATAGGGCATTTTCAGCTGCTACATACATAGCGACTGACATAAGATGCCACTTATCAGACAGCACTTTCAATACTCTTTGCTTCTTAAGAAGTTCTTCAAAAATAACTCCTATATATATCTAGGTTAGGTAGACAAGTAATTCTGAAAATAACTCTTTATTCACTGCGAAGGCTTGTATTGAAATAAGTATTGAATATGTTTCGTGATTTATTATAAATAAATTGTCAATAAATAATAGGGAGTGTGTAATAGTGAGTTATAATAAATATTTTTCTTTAAAGTAATGTCGTATCGCAATTAACCTTATGAACTCATATTAGCCTATATTCATTGAGTTTTGTTCGATTTAAACAATTGGTTTTCGAAAACTACTCGAGTTTTCGAGAATGCCAGATTTTGCAAGATTGTAATTCTTAATCTCATGCGGTCTCTAATTAATGATCTCGCCTCGAGATTGCATTCCCTAATCACAGCACACGACCCACGAGGGGACTCTTTGTATTGAAGAAGTCGCATGGGTCCGCCAAGCAACCGCGGATATGCACTATAAATTCATAATTATGTAGGAATAAAGAAAATAATAAAAATAGCAAATAATTAACAAACCAAAGTTTCTAAAATCATTTGCTTGTATTTGCAAATGCTTTAATGGTCATAAAGTCATTATAAGATAATAATGATCTAAGGATCAACATACATTACTTATAGAACCCAACTTCATGCAGTAGAACATAAAAACATCTACAAAGAGAATTTACAGAGTTATGCGGTGACCTATTTAGTGGGTCAGTATGAACTATGGTGCACTATGAATAAGACATATCTACAAGATGTCCTAAGAAAGCATGTCACCCAACCTTTAGAGTCAAAATACACTGGGTATACATACAGACCAAAAATCTAAGAATTTGAAAGATCGTATGGAATATATATATGAAGCACGTAAATTACTTTTTAGCGAACAGTTTATGTCGGTTCTAGCAATAACAAAACTGTTTTATGTTCCTTCTAGAGTTTTAAAACGATAAATAACATAGAGGGCGAGAAATTGTATCGTAAAAATTTCAAAGCGTACATATCCCTGGAGATTCTTCGTGTACACTCAATCAAATAAATTGTCTGAAGCGAACCAGTGGAGATAGGTTTATAATCGGGTGTTTAAGGAATGCTACAAGCGACGTTTGCTAAATAAGTGGATCCGGGCTGGAATTTGATATCAGTAATCTGTAATGCAATGAAAAACTATTGATATTTCTTGTCATATTGTACAACCAACCCACTTCGCATAATTGTTAATGTTAAATCGTATTTAATATTATGATAACTAAACACGGTTTAAACGGTTAAAATGTCTCTTATTAAACATGAACACAAATAAATGAATACAATCTAAGGAACGTTATAATAATTAAACTTTTTTGGCACTGTCTTCATTTCTAACCTAGCGTCTAGAACGCTTGGTTAGAATTCTGCCTGTGTTTTTTTTTTCACAAGACACAAAATCGATTTCTTCCTTATGTATTGGACATTGCCTTTTTGCCACAATGAAAATATATTCCTTTTTTACTTAACGCAAGAAAAATGCCCATAAGCTTGTTGCGACGAATTACGTCTGAGCGTAATACACTTAACCGTCGATTTATCACTGGTCAGCTCGTAATTTGCTCTGCTTTCGAATTACCTTACAGATTTAACGAACCAGTCAGAATGTCAATTTCATTATTACCGAAAGTCAAATAGAAATTATACAACAATAATATATTTTTGTGCGTGATATTTTCCCAAAAATATCGTAAATAAATAGTAAGTAATACCACTAGAAGTAATATCAGGTTCCAATAAAGTACGTAGTAGATGCACTGTAAAGGTGTTTTTAATTTCTTGAAGAATGCCAGACACTTGATCAAAGGGGCTTTATCCAGAATCCAATAAAGGAAGGTTTGTCTCAAATACCGACGCAGCTTCACAATATGAGAAAATTATTTAAATAGCTCTTAAATATCATAAATATTTTAATTATAATTCTTGTATGATCTCTAACGGTGGAAAGAATAATTAAAAAAAGATTTGACATCATTTTTATATTTCCCTATAAAAACCCAAGCTAAAGAAATAATTAAAAAACTTTAATATCTATATAACAAGTACCTTTGTGTGCTTTACGAACCGCACTAACCATATCAAATTTAATTAAACTGCCCGGCTCACTGAATTACAGAGGAATTATCAAATATTTTGAAGATAGTAAGAATAAATGCCACCTGCAAATTTAAAAATAGCTAAAAATCGTAGAAATAGCTGATGGCATCCAAATATAATCAAGTTAGCTTTGATACAGGGTTCTTTATGAAGTGCGGAAGTCCTACAAGTAATCCGGTTTCCGCGACAGCCACAACTTTATCGATAGCTCTTCTGGATTTCCTACTTTAAACTTGCACACCGCGTCTAAAGAGTAATGCGATCCATATTGAACTCGCTTACAGAACAAAGTTTGAATCTTATACAGAATTTTAAACGTTTCCAATTTTTCGCCTTTACGAAGCCGGTCGAGATAGCTTAATATAGTGTTTAATCTTTAAATGCATCCATTTTTTTATCCAACTTATTAGTATTGATCGATATCAACGATTTATGTTTGTGGTTTTCTACTAATCAAGTAGCAACAAGTATATATATATATATACAAGTATAGTATGTATATTGCTAAGAAGCTTTTAAGCGCTTTCGTTGGGCGCCTAAAAGTTAGTGCCCAATACTGGTATAACGTAAAATGACATTTCAGACGGGATTAATTTTTGTTTTTTAATAAAATGAACTTATACAAACTTATTACTATATTATGACTATGAAATTTTTGCACTTTCTAATTGTAAATGAATTGTATTAGTACTCATGTAATCAAACTATGACTTTAATATAAATTTAAGTCCTACTTCCTTTTCGGTATTAAATTTAACCAATTTATGTGGTAAAACAGCATAGAATTTCCGGGATCTTTGTTTGCTCGTTGTCGCCAACTGATGGAAAGAACAAATATTTTCTAAAGAACGAAAACTACTTCGACGGTTAACGATTTCGTTTTTAGCAATCTTTTTAATAGAATAGTCAAAGGAAAGGACCACCCTTTCCTACTAAACAAAAAATATGATGTCTGGTTCATAGAACCAATATTATCAAATAGCCGTACGGTACACACATACATTTGACGTAATTGAAATAGGTAGGTCAAAAATTCATCGTTCAGCTCCAGGCGAGAGTAAGGCTCAGATCGCCTTTACTTCTAGCTTAGCTAGTCCTTAAAGCAGCATTGAGCATGGTTTGAGCTCAGCACGTGAGCCGGGGACCATTCACACGGGGCGGCGGCTGCGCGCGCATCGATCGATACGGCAAACGGCGGGCAGTGCCCAGACAGCCGCCCGATCTCTCGCACGCGCCAACCGCGAGCCCATGACCGTCCTCCACAGATGACGGAGCCCCGCACCATTACACATTGCCGATCTCGTCCCCAACCCAGCCCTCTCGCTCTCTGCGTGCCGGCCATAACGCGAACATACGCTGTGACAAGGTATGAAAATCAATATTGCCCTAGTCTTCGCTGACCGCTACATTAACCCGACTAGGGACTGCGGTTCTCAAGGTATTGATGCACTAGCATAGTGCTGTACCTAAATACTCTCGAGGAGCTAATAGCATTCCAACTAGAATTCCTTAATTGACCAGCATTACTTTGAAAATGAGAATTTTTATTGCGAGATATTCAGCCCTTCCCTACTGCAACCGATTTAGTTATTTTTATGAATAGCTTTTCTAGTTATGTATATATCAATATTAACCACTTTTTAAATTGATTAGCTTAAATATACTTTATATGAAAATAGAGAACGTAATGGCACTTAATGTTAACGTGTACAGAATAAGGGATCGGTCGCGAGTCGAAAATATATCGTGATGCAGTGCAATTATTCCAATGGTAAAAAATAGCCCAAGGGCGTATTATAAAGGCCAAACGCCACGTACAAATTCAATTGTATTGTACCCCCAACACCATTAATAATACTAAACGTCTGTAGAAATATGTACTCGTGATTTTTAAGTTACGATAAGGAATTTTATTATAATTAAGGACTACGATAACTCATAAAAACCTTTTAATACGATAAAAGACTTTCTTAAGTTATAATTTTTTTGGCGACGACCTATCGGTTTTGGATAAACTTTTTGTGAATTTTACAATGAAATTATGGGTCTCCAAATATATCGGTCGGAATTAATTGTTTTTGGGTAGGTAATGAGGCCTGCATTTTTATTTATGGTACACTATGCCATTTCTGACAAATATAAACTAGTTTTTATGATTTCACGCATCTACAGGAATACACATTTAGGTATAGCTATGAGCCCCGATTTGGGCAAAACTGGAAAACATTGACAATTTTTTTTTTACAAGAATCCGTATTCGTTACTGTTATAGAAAAATCGAAACGTCAGCGTTATCGAAGTGACTGACCTGTGTCATTTGTTCCCCCTGATGGCTATCGCGTTTCTAGTATGTCGGTTTTAAGTGTACTTCAATTTCCACTTTCTGTACACTCTTGTCAGCTTATGCTACCTTCTTTTTAGTCCCCTATTTTTATTACATTATAAATTTATAAATGGGAAAGTATACATTCTTAGTCTGCTACAGAAGGTTTTACATGATAATACATAAACTACTTATAACATGTTTTTAGGGTAATAATAAAAGTAAGGTACCTTTTAGGTGTGTAATGATTATAATGATGTACAATTATAAGTTTGTTTAAATATATTAAATCCAATTCATTTCTGGTGTTAAAAACTTCAGCGAGTAAAGCAAAATTTTTTATAAAGTAAATAAATCTATGTGAATATAGCTCCAAAAATCCCGGCTCACACAGCCCTAGAAGCCTGGGATACGCGTTTTTTTACGCTATTTTGATGGCTAAAAATGAATAAATTCCTATTACGCAAATTATTTTAAATAAAATTGTTTAAGCATATATAATTGTTTGAAGGTGATGCAAAGAGGATGAGTCGCCGCGCGCGGCCGTGACATGGGAGCGCAGGCATGGGCTGGCGCGCCGAGCTAACGCCGCACATCGCCGCCGGCCTGCTGCTTCTACTGATTGTATATTTGCCGGGTAAGAAAAGATATTTTTACTCAGTAACTAGCTTGCTTTTGTTTTTCTTTAGGTTACTCTGAGGTGATAGTAGCTGTCGAAGAACTACAATTAATCACTGTAATTGTAACCCACAGTCGTGAATCTAATATATATAATATATATGTTGTGCTGATATATTTAAATTATATTATCGCGTACTCGTGTATCGCGTTTATAACATCCGTACATGTGGGTGTTGACATACGAGAAAAAGTATACGAACAATGATAGATCAAAAATGTGAAAACAATTATGATACTTTATAGTAATTGTAGTATAACTAAAAATTAAAATAGTTTTATTCTGATAAAATTCTACTAATGTTTTTGTTATTATTTACATAACAATTTTAATGGGGAAGGACACATTCATGGAGCCTATTACGTTTACACGTAGAAATAGGTTTGTGCTGAATCCTAAACAATATGCACTTTCCACTCGCACACGGGTTGATTTCAATAGGCTGAGGTAATTCTGGTTAGGTCAATCTGTGGGTGTCTAATCTGTCTACATATATATAAGCCTATTGCTTGTTTGACGAACAATAGGTCTATTTGGACTGCATTATTTGCTACTTCGTCCGTAGATAGAAGTACCGTTTTATTTACGAAGTACTTTATTAGCTTAAGGGCCTCGTGATTTTAAGTAAGATGTGATTATGTTAAATTTACAATAATCGGCGATTAAAGATACAGATAATGTCTGTTTAGTCTAATGTAAACGCTATTTGAAATTCGTGAAATTGACAAAGTTTCTGTAAAAGAAGGAAGAAAAATTATTTATACAGTAACAATATTTTTTTTGTCTTTAACTTTTCACTTTTATTTTTCCTGATTCATCATTGTCAAATCTCCACTAGGATAAAAAGGGAATACAGAAATAAAAAGAAATTATATAACTTTGACAGTTTTGTGAAAAACATCCAATATTGGAGAATTATTGAATACGTATTCCTAATTATCTTTAATAGGTTCTTTTAATAGTAAGTTATAATCGTGAACCCCTGTGGTGTGGATACAATGTTCTTTACTCTGGTTACATAAATAAAAATATGTATGTGTATATAACTTTAATGTGTGTTGTTAACACAACTTAAGTCACTAGGTACTTATGGCGATACCGAATATCAGACAATGAACTATTATTTTTCTATGGCCGAGTCACGAGGATATTTTAAACGTTTGCCGTTTCATGTCAATCTCATTTTGTATATTATAGTAACTTGCCATCAAGACCACCAAGATGCCGTACACATTACGGCTATCCTCGGTGAGAGTGTGGTGTTCAACTGCCAGGTGGATTTCCCCGAAGATGTCCCCGTGCCGTACGTGTTGCAGTGGGAGAAGAAGGTAGGCGAAACGGTATGACGGTCACACTCCACTCTTACATTACAAAGCTGCTCATCTTTCGTGTGTGTATTTCTGTTCAGTAAAGGTCGTGGCGTCGTGGCGCTCCGCAGCCTGTAAAGTATATCTTATGCTTGTCCAAGGGACACGTATTGTACCGTGCTAGTAACGCGGGCCGGGTTTGTCCATTATCCCGATGACCCGCGCATGCCTTATGGTGCATGCAAACTTGACCAGTTCTAAACATACCAACCATAATTTAACTACATAAAGTAATCATACGACCATCTTATTTAAAAGTATCATTTAAATTAATTAGCAATTATTAATTATGATTGAATTTAAACAACAAATAAATATCCTGGTAAAGTTTGTATGCAGCAATGTGATGCCTCTTCAACGTATTGATTGTCGCGTCGCCCACTAATAGGACAAAACACCACAGTGACAAAGACCTTAGAAACGTGTCCGAGAGAGCAGCAGACCCCCGTACAAAAAACACACTACACTCACATATATCTTTGATTTTTTTTAATTCAATTGTTTTGGGCGCACCGATTTCTCTTCGATAAAATGGGAGCACGTTGCTTATGCGATCGCCAGCCAAACTGTAATATTAAACGCTAATTTTATTTTATTTCACAAAAAATAGACTATAAGTCTTCATTAAGTTGTTTTTTCTTCTGGTGTCCCTTCAATGCAAAATAAATAAACAACCAACATAGCTTAAAAATACACTACATTCAAATTAATTAAAATATAAAAAGTAACAGCACAAAAATCTTTAAAAATTGTGAAAATTAATTTACCGCTTAGATCTCGACTTTGCAGTATGTTTGGCGAAAGCTTATAAAGGCTGACACGTCGCACGCGCACTCCCTCGCGCACTGGCGGTGGTTCTGACTGTCTCTCTTCCTGTGGCTGTGGGCTGTTCCCACACTGTATCTGCTAATTTAGAAATCTACGCATTTCACTTAGGCAGAACATTGGTCTTAACGCATGTTATACTAACAGCTTGCGTAAAGACACAAAGTACATCTGCCTTTTTGACATTGTGTATATTACGTATTTAAGCCGAATCGCATGTTTCTTGTAAAAACAACATTTAGCATGACACAAGCTTATGTTTTACACGTGAAGATACGAATTTTACGTACAAAATTCTTATGTAACACTGGCATGCTTGTAGTTTGTTTTTGTTGGTATTTAGTTTGACATCTTCCTACAAGACATTGTTGTACATATATGTAGTGAACGCGTTGTGGTCGATATTGTTCGTAGTTAGGTAACGGAAGATGTACCGCGCCGATGATTATGAGATGTTAACAATTGACGGTGTGTATAGGGTCAGGACATACCGATATACATCTGGTACGAGAGCTACCCGACTCACAGTGGAGAGGGCTATGAGGGCAGAGTGTCGCGCGTGGCACCCGATTCGCCTTATGGCGCTGCCAGTCTCAACCTCACTAATATACGAGAATCGGACCAGGTAAAAACAACTCAAATTTACCTTACTACTTTTTCCACATTTTTCACCTTACATCGTTAAATTTTTGTATGGGTTCACAATAACCTGTTTCATCTAACAATCTAACGACATCATCATAATTATAACTCAAACTTACATTTTTTGAACTATTTCTTAATTCAAATCATTGTAATACTTAAAAATATAAACAATGCTTTTATACATAATATATTACAATTGTTCTACAAGATGATAAACTAACAGCAAGTACATCATAATATATACTTTATGCACATCGAAGGTATATGTAAGGTACATGGACTGCATCTTATATGGCAAGGTATTTGTTATTTACCAAGAACTCGTCTTTATGATGTGTATCAATATACTTTCTTACAGGGATGGTACGAATGTAAGGTGGTATTCCTTAACCGGTCTCCAAACCAGCACAAAAACGGCACGTGGTTCCATTTGGACGTGCACGCCCCACCGAGGTTCTCTATCACGCCGGAGGAGATCATATACGTTAACCTAGGTGAGACAAAAGAAATACTTAAATCAACACAACATCTATTTTGTTTATTAAAAATAGTTCTCTTATTTTCACTACCGGAACAAGAAACTATGTCAATAATATTTCAATTACTCTCAGAAAGCAATAGTAAATCTAATTATAAACTTTTAGTAAATCTAACTGTAAACTTTAATTATAGCGAAAATCCTAATTTTAAAAAGAATCCTGTGTTCTTCGCTTCTGTCGTGTCTTACCTAATCTCAATTCTTGATTCCCATTAGTTAGTTAATTAAGTACTTATTGTTAAATAGGTGATGCCATAATACTCAACTGCCAAGCAGAAGGCACACCAACCCCAGAAATTCTATGGTACAAAGACGCTAACCCTGTGGAGCCATCTGGAACAGTTGGTATCTTCAACGACGGCACCGAACTCCGCATCAGTAACATCAGACATGAAGATATCGGAGACTATACGTGTATCGCACGAAATGGGGAGGGCCAAGTCTCTCATACGGCCAGAGTCATTATCGCTGGTGGCGCTGTTATCACGGTAAGATTTATTTACTTAATTTTAGTTTTTTATGCATCCCTCTTACGCTTAGTTGCTTAGGTCCTTGTTCATTATATTAGGTTACATATGAAATTGGCGTATTTCGTACTGGCCACTTTAATCACGATGTTCTCCTCTTTGGTAAGGAATTCCAAATTCAAATTTGTACAGCTATTTACTCATGTATTTGTGCTTCGATGACGTCATTCATTTGTTTTTTTCTTCTGTTTTTTTCTGTTTGCGTCACTCATTTTACAAAATGGAAAACTTAAAGTATCTCATTATTTACGAGTACGAGTTCCGCCGTGGCACTAGTGCTGCGGAAACGACTCGAAGGGTGAATGATGTGTATGGCGGTCATGTTGCAAAAGAAAACACAGTTCGTTTTTGGTTCCAACGTTTTCGTTCTGGAAATTTCGACCTGCAGAACAAGCCCCGTGGACGGCCTGAGATCCAAGTTGATAATGAAGTATTGAAGGCTATTGTGGAAGTGGATCCACCGCAAACCACGTCCGAGTTAGCTGCAGGCTGCGGTGTTAGTGATAAAACTGTTTTAATTCACTTGAAGCAAATTGGGAAGATTAAAAAGCTTGAAAGATGGGTACCTCACGAATTGACTGAAGCAAACCGGCAAACGCGCGTCGACTGCTGCGTTACATTACTGAACCGACACAATAATGAAGGTATTTTAAACCGAATCATTACCTGTGATGAAAAATGGATTCTTTACAATAATCGGAAGCGCTCAGCGCAATGGTTGGATCCTGGCCAGCCAGCCAAATCCTGCCCCAAGCGAAAATTTACCCCAAAAAAGTTACTTGTAAGCGTTTGGTGGACTAGTGCCGGTATTGTTCATTAACTCTGATGGGGCAGTCCAAATCGCCTTCACAGATTTTATTGATTCCCGTCCGACTGGTTTTTTTAGTAAAGGGATCAATGAACTACCTATGAGATGACAAAAGTGCATAGAAAACAATGGTTCATACTTTGATTAATTAAATATATTATATTTAAAAATATTCGACTTTTTGTTCCTCCCATATAAAATGCCAATTTCATATCTAAGAACCTAATATTATGGTTTAGATACATTTCGTCTTCATGTAATTTTTTATGTACTTCGTTGGTTCATTTTGAGCGTTACAGATCTGTAATTTAGGATACCTATAATTTAGTACCAAAGTATGTCAGTGACAAACATGGTTATCTTTAACTCTGATGGTTATGAAAATCCACGAAAGGTAACACAAAAAAAAGAAAGAGACAATAGCAGTAGCTTCTAACTTTCATATTGAGTGCCACGTGTTTTTTAAGATACAGAAATGTCATCTTAATCAAACTATATGACCCAAACTGTGAAAAAATCAGTAAGGTTTTCTATTCTATATGTTGCAGAGGAGTCTGAAGCCAAAACATACTCGATAATACCCAAATACTTATTTAATACTTATTTTGACATTAGATAATTGAACGCAGAAATGACCCTTGGCGTACAATATAAAATATGGACAATAAATCGTCTTTTGTCCTTCCTCCTCAAATATGTTGTGATTGTTGTAAGCTGTTATGAAAAGAGTAAGGTGGCAAAATGTGTCGTATATTTTTAAATACAGGAACAAAATGATCATTCGAGACCCTATGTTAGTATTATTTGGCTAAAAATCTTATATAAATAGCATTTATTTAATAAAGTATTCAAAATAATATCACTAAATATATTCGCGTTGAAGGTGCATAAAATGGCATTTAATGAAATCGTAAAATGAAAAATGTATAATTCTTATACTTTGGTATGCAATGAACTGGTATAATTTTTCGATTAAGCAGTGGAAACTTTGCAAGCTGAATTTATAATTACCTCATTAATGTATGCAGTTTTTCAAATTGACTAGTTATAAAGTGAAGACAATTTTCTTCATTTTAAAACGTATTTAAAATGTAAGCTTAATAAGTGTAAAATTTAATTATCAATGTTAAAACTTAAAAAGGCAGCAAAAGGCAATATAATTAAAATAATCATAGTTAAGGAAGCCCTTCGTCGTGTAAAAAAATATTTAAATGATAATAATAATAATAATTTAAATGATAGATTGTCACACATTGTTGAGACAAATATTTTTTTCCCAATTTTAGATGCCGCCAACAAACCAAACAAAGCTTGAAGGGGAGAAAGTCCAGTTTTCCTGTGAGGCTAAAGCTTTACCAGGCAATGTGACTGTTAAATGGTTTCGCGAGGGTGCTCCCGTGGCTGAGGTAGCGGCTTTGGAGACAAGGGTCACAATCAGACGTGATGGAGCCTTAGTAATTAACCCCGTAGCTGCTGACGACTCCGGTCAGTACTTATGCGAGGTCTCAAATGGTATCGGAGATCCACAGAGTGCTTCCGCATATTTGAACGTGGAGTGTAAGTTTACATTTATTCAAACTAAATAAACGTTCAGTTTTAAATAATAAAAAATAACCTTTTCTTTACATAAAACTTTTTGACCTTAATTTGACCTGTGTTCAAAAAGGAACACACAACAATGTTTGAAAAAATTTCCTCACATTTTCGTGACACCAAATAGCGCCGCTGTCAACACTAATTGGTTTTTTTATTGCGCCAGTTAATAATAACTGTTTATACGTTTTAAAGATTCATTCTCAGTTATTTAATCAATAACCATAGTTCAGATTGATGACTGATTTCTGGATATGCTATAGATAATATGATAATGTTATAATGCAACTTTTTTGTGATTGCATAAATGTTCTTGCGTGTCATTATTAATTTAATGGATCCAGAGCTTTCCCAATAAATAGGAAGTTCTTAAATCATTCTTAATTCATCACACTTAAAAAAACTTCTCGTTTTAATTACTAATTATTTATTTTACATGATAAAAAATAGTATTAAAGATTAGTAGCAATATTTAGTTTACGATACGTTAAAAATAAAGCAAAATATCTCTCGCAGATCCAGCCAAAGTGACTTTCACTCCAACAGTCCAATATCTACCTTTTCGTCTGGCTGGCGTAGTTCAGTGCTACATAAAAGCTAATCCTCCTCTACAATACGTCACGTGGACGAAGGACAAGAGACTTCTAGAGCCGTATCAGACGAAAGACATTGTTATTATGAACAATGGTTCCCTGCTATTTACGAGAGTTAATCAGAATCACCAGGGAAGGTATACCTGCACACCGTATAATGCACAAGGGACTCAAGGATCTTCGGGTAATTATTATTAAATAGCATTGAGACAATTTTGTACGCAGTTTTCATAAACTATCTTAGAATCTCTGGTTAAAAATGATTTACATTTGCGGGTTTACACCAGAGGCCTATCAGTTAATGAACAGTAATTTTTTTTATTAGTTTTTATTTGCCTACCCTGAATGACACTAGACATTAAAAAATGTTTTTAAACTTTGTTTAAACAAAATAAGGAGCTCAATACTCGTATCTTCTTGAATAACTGAATATTTACATTTTTCCTAACCTATTTCTGATGATAGATTTATTGAATTTTTGTTGCAGGTCCAATGGAAGTATTGGTCAGAAAGCCACCTGTGTTCACAGTAGAGCCTGAACCGTTGTACCAAAGAAAGGTACTGTAAAAATTATTTCGTATAAAAATCTATTTACTCGTAATGACATTTAAGGATTATTTTTCTTGGCCAAAAAAAATCTAAGTACATTGAAATAAATAAAATACATATTACTAGTGAAACATTATTGACGTATATCGAACAAATTTCTATCTATATTGGGACAAAATAGTTTTTAAATAAAACGTATACAGGTTGGGGAATCTGTGGAGATGCATTGCGAAGCTCAAGAGGCTGAAGGCACTCAACGACCCAGCGTTGTCTGGAGACGAAGAGATGGCCTTCCTCTTCAGAAGAATAGAGTGAGGGCGCTAGGAGGGAATATCACCATCGACACATTACGACGTCAGGACTTTGGGATCTACCAATGTGTGGCCTCTAATGAGGTAATGTGTTTTTTACAATAATTATCAGATCTAATTATTTCGTGCATCATTTAGTTTGTCGGTAGCTATATCGTTAATAAAATGCGAACTATCAATTGTCATTATTATTTAAGACATCAGCAACGACGAAATATGTAGTAAAAATATTAAATAAAGTCATGCGTTATTTTTGGCCAATACCGCCACAATTAGTTTTGTGTTAGACCTCAAAATGGTGGCAAAGGCGGGTCTTAGATAAAGGCTAAAGCCAAAAGGCATCTTCTTCTGTAGCCGACAGACTGTCATGCATGTGTTTTGTCTCTGTTATATGTTGTATCAATATCAAGTCCTACAAAGATTATGTTATGGTTATACATATGTAGCTACGCTATCCTTGTATCATGTTAGTTCATTATTCCTCCAGGTAGCAACAATAGTAGCTGATACCCAGCTGGTGATAGAAGGTACTCAGCCACATGCACCATACAATGTTTCGGGGACAGCGACAGAGTTTCAGGTCACGTTACGATGGCAACCAGGTTACGCTGGCGGACCAGACTATAAACAGGACTACACAATTTGGTATCGGGAAGCGGGCTTCTCTGAATGGACCAAAGTGCCTGTTACGCCATCTGGAGCTACTTTTGTAAGTGTGGTTTTGTTCGCATAAAAAAAATGTTTTTGTAAATATAATAGTAAAAACTTGACTTCTTTTCGGATCTTCAACATGTCTGTAAACTTGGTAAGTATCGAAAACCGACGATTACGTAAAAAATATATAGAAATAATAAATATTTTTCTTGAATTTAATATATTTCGTCTATCTGTAATAATTGGATCATTGTAATTGATACGAGACGTACATTTCTCTGTAGGTTGCTAAGAAATTATCATATTTTTATGATCGAATCCATTTTCTTTTATTATCCATTCGATCTATTATTATTATTCAAATGCCCCCAGGGTAAATAATTTTCTCTGCACAAATTAAAAAAAACAATTCTTTAACTTTTCAGGTCACAATAAATAGGCTTCAGCCAGGGACCACATATGAATTTCAAGTTAATAGTAAGAATACCATCGGAGAGGGAATGATGAGCAAAGCTATTACAATACGAACACTTGGTATGTTATGTGCACTAATAATAATATGTCCTAATTTTATCTATAATTCGATTTTGATAGTAAAGGGGATCAAAGTTAAGTAATGGTTGGAAAGTGGAGTTTTAAAATTATTTCCCTAAATAAATTCTTATTGACTAACAGTTTTGTATTAATTTGGGAAAAAGTAATGTTCAAATCAAAGGAAATCGTATTTTTATGATAAATAATAATAATAAGAATGAACTTTATTCATAGGAAAATATGATTGTGACAAAATTAATCTAACGCTTGTTCCCACACTCCCACACACTTGTGTTGTGGGTAACTAGATTACAGCTCTTCCGTGTATGGTGCGGTGCATATTTAAAATAAAAGGATTATAAGTTATTCATAAAAATATTTTTTAAGAAAAAGATGATTTCTCACATAATACATCATTTTACCAGTTCCTGTAACTTGAAGTTCATAATTTTTTAACGCACAATACGATTCGTCATCCCCTTTAATACGCCTAATAACAACACCTACTATTTCTTGTGGCAGCGGCTAGTAATTAAGACAGGAAACATTAACAATTTTTTCAAGAAAGCAGGTTTTAGAAATACATTGGGGGTGACGGCGTGTTGGAAGAAAAACCCGCGATACTGCAGGGTTTTCTTGGATATTCTTTCATTGATGACAATGTGGCACCGTACGAAATTCAATTAATTCAAGATCCTATTAAGAATTTGATAATACACAAAAAGATTAAGAAAATGATTTTTAGACACAGTGTAACTTCTTTGAATGAATTCCAAGGCACACTGCATAAGTTAAATTATATTAAAAAATTTGTACATCCAAATCTTTTAATCAAACCAAAATAAGTGATTACTTTAAATAACGTAATTATACGTATAATATGTATTTAGTGTGGCTTATACCTAATAGTACAATTTGAAATCTACATATACGAAATCAGAACATAATACATAATAATATTTAGTACTGAACAACTACTAATATATTGGTGTCTGTGAAATCGCCTTACGGGATTTATTGTAATTGTAAAATTATCAAATTTTTACTCGTTTTAATTGCTGTAAACTGAATGTGTGTTAATTTATTTTGTTAAAAGAGGCAATATAAAAACCCGTGACAGAGAAATATGTTGGTGATCTTGCTACAATGATCCCATTATGGTCATATAAACACGCGAAATCGTTTTAAAAAAAAATCTTGAAATCCGATAAAATGTGCTTTCTTGTATAAACATTTTGCTCGCATTACTAATGCTTATTACCGTTTGAATATAACTAACAATACTTAAATATCGTCAACTAACATACAAATTAACCTTTTTGAATCTGGAAGGGATACTTCGGTATAAAAACTTACCACGTAACTTTGCTTTTTGTAGATGTAGGCGCAAAACCAAAGACTACACCCACAGCCGCGGGACCGATAGACGAAAAAATCTTTCAGAATGCACCCGAGGGATCCGGTACTTTTAGAACTATATATTTATTGCGATACTTCTTGCTTTAAATTTAATTTAAATTTTTAATTAGATCGCAAATTTTCAATAGCATTGACCTAATTTTTTTACCGTTGGTCCTAGTATTTTTAATTTTGTTTTAATGCACATTTGACTAACATACTAATATCTACCCGCTTTAAAATTTCTGTCATATTTGACATATTTTTATTTTCTGAAACATATTTTATGAGTCTTATTTTTCACTTTCGGTCTCCAATTCTTATTTTAATGGATTTAACCGTGCTGATAATATATTTTGACGGCTTAACATACTCGCGGAGACATGAATAGACAGCCGGAGAGCGAGTGTACCTATATGGTGCTCTGCCCGCTCTTGTCCGTTTTTGGACATGGATCTCGCCGCAGATAACCTGTTACACAAAATGTGGACTTTTGCGATAGGCTTGACTCACTCTCCTTACACTATTTGAGAAGAGAGAAAATTGTATGACAGTCAGATTTGTTCATGGTAACGTGACCATCTCCATCCTGATTGGCCAATTCAATTCGATTTGAGTAACACCTGTCGCAAGTTGCTCCAGCTGACATCCTGAGAGGCTCTCGATGAGTATGTAAAGTCGTTATTTCGGCTTGCGCCACATTTTAAATTTTGTTTTATATTTTAATAGGTCCAAAACCAGGACAGCCTCGAAACTTAACAGTGACAGAAGTCCACAATGGGTTTTCGATCTCATGGCAAACGCCACTAGACCGTGCTCATTTAGTTCAATACTATACGATCAAATACAGAACGGATGCACAATGGAAGACCCTCAATCGTGGTCAGATTCGCCCCGAAGAAACTAGTTATCTTGGTACGCAGGATTCAAATACTAATATTATATATTATTGCTATTATTACTACTATTATATTTTATTATATATTATTGTAATAATTCATGCAGAGTTTAGTCTTTGTCTTTATATATTATTTTAATGGACAAATTTAATATTGAACCTTCAATTTCGATTTCTATTTCCAGTAAAAAACCTAGTCGGAGGCCGCACATACTATTTCCGCATATTGGCCAACTCAGCGACGAGTTACGAAAGTTCTGAAGAAGTAAGGTTTGCGGTCCCAGCGCGGGTTAAGCACAAAGCTATAACAGCGGGCGTAGTTGGCGGGATATTGTTTTTTATAGTCGCCATAATACTGTCCGTATGTGCTGTGAAGATTTGCAATAAACGCAAGCGACGCAAGCAGGAGAAAGGTGAGTCCTTATGGGACGCGGCCGCTAGCTCGCTCCCGACGCTCTATAGCTAGTTCTCTTAGACCCTTCAAACAATTTCCTTTAAACAAATTGCCATATTGTCGGTGATAAAGCTACAAACAATCCTTTCATTTTGGTTTGCATGCTATGGCTTCTGTGGTTTGTGTGGAGTTACGCTTTAGGTGATTATGTGCTGGGTGTAGCTGAATAACATTTACTAACAATTCATGTCAAACGTGCTTGCAATTTAAAAGACAACATTTTTCGTGACGTTTATATAATTCATCGGAAAAAAAATATCAGTAGATCTTAAATGTCAAACAAAAATTATCACATCATTCAAGAAATGGAATGTAAGTAATATAGGTTGTGATAAGCATATTTATCTTCCGATGTCTTCAGCAATCGCTTTTAAGTTGACAATATGGTGTTCGGATAACATGAGGTTTATTTGGTGTCGGTTGCGGGTGGCGGCCGAGTGTTTCGAGGTGCTCAGTATCTGCACGCGTTAATGTTCAGAAATAATTCGATTGCAGCATACAACATGGTAGCCGCGCGGCTGACAGACCTGCGCGCCGCTGACAGCACTCAAGTGCCTTTTAAGAAGTAAGTTACTTACTTCTTTACACTCTATATAACCTCAATGTATTCTAAGCTCAATTTATATCACATAAAAAAATCTTATAAAATATAACACTAACTTGCAGGGATCGCTTAATATAGTTTAGTATGTAGTATTCCGGTAGTCTCCGGAGATTAGTATATGGTCCTCGTAGTTTTAAAGAATTAATCAATTTTCATCAATCAATTAGTAATTTATTATAATTCATAAAAGAAATGATCTCAAATGTTCTCATATGTTCTGCTGCTCTTCCATAGGAAATCAGGTCAGTCGTATTATTATGTGTTTGTAGATTTTTGCTTACCTGTCAGCTGTGACTTTAGTTGTGTGTTAATGTAAGTGAAGAACAGAAGGTTTCAATGTGAGTCAATATAACACTTGTATTGTGTTTCAGATTTAGAGAAAGCGGAATATCGAGTGTAGTCCAATGTTTGCGGTTTACGGCGAACTGGATCTGGCCGGTGACACGGTGCGGCGAAGAGCCGCCTTACTGGGGACTCGTTCGACGTATGTCCCCCGCCCCGCCGCCCTCGCCTTCTCCCTCGCTGGCCCCCTCCTCCTCTGACGACGGCGGCTTCCTTCCTCGCCTGCGCGCTCCTTTGCAGCCCGCCGCGGCGCCCCCGCTCTTTCGTGCCTCGTCCCCCGCCTTCTCCCCTTGGACGGCTTGGACCCCGTGGCCGACCTGGGTCCCCGCTTGGACTCCGTGGTCGCCTCTGCATATATCAGATCTCAGCTCGGTCCCCTTTCCGAGCTCAGCGGACGGCTCCTTCCCGACCCCGCCATCGTTCCTTCTGCGGCAGTCCCGCCAGGCTAGCGAGCGAGCGCTGTGTGCCGTCCCGCAGCGGACGCGGTGGCGACCTGTCCCGCGACACGCGCGCTCTCGTCCGGGGGCAGATCCTCCGCCGCCACACGAAGCCTCCCCGGAGAGCCGTTCGTCGTCAAGCGGCTTTGGCAGCAAGAACGCATCCTCGTCGCAGCACAATCGCAGCAGCCGGACGGGCAGTCTGGCGGAATGGCGACCCCCGCCGTACCGTGCGCCCCCTCCGGCGCCGCTACCGCGACCCGAGTCGGGCGAGGCGTTGGACGCAGGCTCCGTAGACGTGCACTACGAGTGGGACCGCGCCACCCGCACGCCTACGCCTTCCACCCCGGAACGACCTCGGGCCCGCCAGGCCCGAGATGACGTGGAAGCGCGGGTCAGGGCGATGAAGGAGGAATTCTTAGAGTTTCGTAAGCGGCAGGCTCTGCGCCGTCGTTCCCCGGAACCGCTGGGCCCGCCGCCGCCGCTCTCAGCGGTGTCTGCGCTCTCTCCACTGTCTCCGCTCGCTCCGATCGCTCCTCCGTCTGCACCCGCGGAGACCGTTTGCTGATTCTCGCGGCTAGCGTTCCTTCCCCACCGATAACTATTTATTTCGACACGTTTAGAATGTCGCTCTTCATTCGTATGTAGTAATCGTTGTAGCGGAAAACGGCACATTAATATTATCCGACGTACGATTTTTACGTGACGGAGTTGACTTTCGAAGCCGTCTGTAGAGCGACATGATGAATTGTGTAAAAGGTTTTGAGACAAGTTGGCGGTAACTAAGAAAAGTATGGAAAGCCGTATTTCCCAAAATGTAGCTAGTGACAACTTGACTTCTGAACTGAATTGATTTAGTTAGGTAACGACGTCGAATTAGCATTAAGTGAGCCCACCTTGGTCGAAAGTAGACTTAACATCGCTGGAGACTATTTACAGTAAGAAATTGAGACGGGACGACGAAGTGGCATGTGTATGTAAATGTACATTCATATAAACTATGTGGATGCAGTGGCGTTTCTGCTCGCACTGTCTGTTTTCCTAAGCGATTTAAATGTCAATTAATGATTTATACTTATTTATAACTATTTAAATGTGTCATTATAGTGTACCTCGTATTGTGCGAAGAATTATAAAATAGGAGCGGTAAAAGACACTTTAAATAAGTCATAATAAGTCGCCACAGTTATGTTAAATTATAGGCCGAAGTTGGCGGACAGGCAGTGCGAAGCTACGTTCACCTAAACGCTTTAGGTATGAGCGGGAAGGCATCCACGATACCGCTCATACCCACATTATAATATGGTAGTTATTATTGTAACTATTAACATTAATTATACGATACTATAGCACTGCGTGTTCGACACTATTCTGTAGTGTAAAGGCAAGTATGCAATAGTATTAATTGTTTGACAAATTTAGCAAACGCGAACAGATGATAAGGTTATTGATTATGATTCCAAGATCACAGTGACATTTTACTTTATAATTCTATTCAACGTTCATAATAACGACATAAACGTGCAATACTGTTATAATAAGAATCGCGTTTTATCAACCGTTTCGAAGAATTTTGATATTTGTGATTTACGTGATCAAACTTGTCACGTTGAGAGTCTGTTATTTATTTCACTGTGATCTGTGATTAGTTTGACAAAGTATAAAACATTAACGTAAAATATCGACGTCATAATATATTATATTTGTGTGAATAATCTTACAGTGGCCCTCGTTTCGCATATTACAATATACAAATATTTGTCACTGACGTATTTTATATCGTTGAAAACTTTGTCAAACTCGTGGTAGAGCTGTACAGTCTGTTATACTGAGTCAATGAAACGGTTTAGGTACAGGCAGCGTCGAACACACGGAAATAATGTACAACACAAATAAAATTAGGTAGACTTGTAAGTTGAGAAGTTAACGGATGTTTAATTTTTATATAAAATTATTTATTTCCAAGTACAAATTATAATTTTTATCTGTTGCGTATCTAGTTATTTTTTATATAATTTTTGAACTGTACATATGTATAGACACCTTAGATTATACACGTATTTATTTAGGTGTTGTGTTATATTTATGTATGAGGTTCAGATGAATTTTGCCATTACGTGTACGGCACTAGCGTTTATTGTTCGTAAATTATTAAACCACCTTTAATGCGAGTACCTTATTCAATTAGAACTCAGCAAATAAAGAGGTGCTACAAATACACATTATAAATTATTATTTTTACTTTATAAAGATACATTAAATTTGTTTTCCCAACCGCTAGGTTCCTGTAACCATCCCACCTGTTATTAATATAATGTTATTTAGTTTTGTCAGTCAACTAAAAGACTGTTTATTTAGTTCGTACAATGTAAAACGTTATATGTTAATAAGTGATGTTTTGTGTACACAATGATTTTAGGCGAATTTTTGTATCGGGATAATATTCAGAACGATTAATATATTTAAGGAAATCCTATGAAATAAGTATAAAATGTACGCTTTAAAGAAATTGATACATAAATTACTCGTAAAATAGTTAGGTAGCTGTGGTAAGTAGTTGGTACGTTGCGTGAGCGTGTGGTTAGCACAGAGGTAACAAACGCAACGGTCTACGTTTTCATAACAACATAGGCCACGTTCACACGGCGATTATTTTCCCGTATACCGTATACGAGGTTTTATCGAATAGAGTAGTGACAACAGAATATATATGAAAACTTAAAAATTGTTTACACGGTGTTCATACGGGAAAATCCCGTGTTCGTGAAATATATTTTACCGTATACCGTGCGAAGTTGTCACTGGAAACGCCGCGTCTCGAAACGATTTTATCGAATACGACACGCAGTGGCGCTTATGTTCATGTTGTCTCGTTCACACGACTCGCCCATTCGAGAATCGTACGCACTCGCACGCGTGCCCCGTAGTTGCCCTTGTGCGTTGCATTAGTCGGTTGTCAATATGGAGGACAGAATTCCAATATTGATCGAGGATTTTATTTCCTTGATCGAAAAAAAAATCGAATCGAATGGTTGCCGTGTGAACGATTGCATCGTATACGGTAAAACCGTATACGTGAAAAAATCGAATCGAATCGAATGGTCGCCGTGTGAATGTGGCCTTACGGGTTTTTTACGTACAGGCTGATAATCTGGCAACTTGATGATAATCAAAGGGTTGGCCTTTTGCCAATAATTAAAAGGAGCGAACAATAATCAATAAACTTACCATGAATTAATATAGCCGCAACATACAGTCGTGTTGTTTTGTTGTTAAGTGATCTGAACCAAGAACGTCAAATTGGACCGCTGATAGCGACCTACAATGCGTTGAATATCTAAATATGTTTAGCGAAAAAAAAACTAACCCTTTTATGAAAATGTAGACTGTTTGGCGTCCCTCATATATGTCTAAGACACGGATGCATCATCACTCAGGTCACTGCCGGCAACTAGAATTAAGCTGAGGTATATCGACACAGTAGTTTGTTTGGTTACGTTAGTGGGTGAAGCCCGCCGCCATTTTAGATTGTTAGTGTCTGAATGTGCAATAACTTCTCCGTTCGGTACAATTAAATGTAATATTTTAAATATAATGTATGCTCAATTTTTTCGACTGACCAACTGTAATTAAAATCTTTTGCAAATCTTTAACATTTAGAAAAATTTATAGCAAGGTAGTGACATAAATTATTATTTATTTTAATGTTTCGTATGCTTGATTTCTTTGTTAGAAAATTTTATTACATAGAGAAATAACTTATATCAATATAAGTAATTATTTATATTATTCGCGCAAACAAGACGTTCACTATCTTGCATTTATTTCGACAATAGTCAGTAATAGATCTGACGTAAACTAAAACACCAATTCCCTTATTCATTTTGTGAAATAGGAGTAAAGTTCATTGGGTCCATTGACGTCAAAAATCAGTGAATAAATGTATAAATAGACAGCCAATATATATGCAAAAAATATTTTTTTTTTTAAATTAACAGTTCGAGTAACCACGTGCCTAGAATGCTAGATTTAAATTGATAAGATAAAACTGAAATTATGCAATCACAGTTTTTCTGTTACATCTATAAACTTAACATTTGCAGAATAATGTCTGTAATCGATATGAAACATATTTGTATGTAGAAAAACTCCACCAATATGTAGTAAGATTACACGGCTCAATCCATGTGATATCTAGTCTTTGTCGTAATAAAACAAATTTCGTGACGTCTCAACCCCGAATTTCTAGCAATCAGTTGTATGCTTCTATATGTCTAGTATGTAACTGATTTATTTAGAGGGACTCAATAAAATCTCTAAACGCGTTGGACGACTTCTTTAGACTAAAGTGAAAAGATAGCAATATATTAGAGTAATGTAATTAAAACATATTATATACCAGTTTCTTTAAAAGTAATAAGTGAATGATTATGTGCACATTGGCAAACGTAATGGTGATACAAGGCAAGCACCCAATATTAAAATCTTAAGGCAAATGCACATTATGTCAGCACAGTAATGTATTCCAAACTTCGAAGTATCATACCCAGCACATTTTAATACGTATCTCCAGTACCCACGTTGCCTGTGTTCGCCTTATTTTAAATAAGATTATGCACAAGACACGATTTTATAAATCTAAACAGCCTTTGATTTTGTTTCTTTTTAGAATATTTTTAGTTATAAGTGTTGAGATCAGTGTTTACTGTGTAAGCACACAAAGGATTCAATTCAAACAATTAAAAATACAATAACGTTGCTATGATATAAAATGTGGTTTTATTTATTCCATTACTTACCGAATAACAGACGCCAACCTAGATCCGACCTTGTTAACAACAACTGGGGTCACACGGTCGAGTGCTTTAAGTACACAGCGTGTTTACAGGATTTCTGATAATGCGAGACCCTGCCTAAGCTGACACAGGAAGATCCACCCTTACCTAACACGAGGATAAAGAAAGACACGATAGATGAAAACTACGCGCAACACATTTAGATGTGGGGAGGGCATCATAACAGATTCATACAAAGTTAATAATCATTTATCCCAGGAAGTAAATAAAAAAAAAGTCTAGGCTTTTTAACTACGAGTGACCTTAACCATTCATTTGAGGCCAAAGATAAAGGAACATAGCCTTCCGATAAAAGACCTATTAATATCATGAAACTTGCAAGGAGATAACCAAAGGTTTTAGAGATCCCAGTTAAATTGAATAAATATATTTTTTAAATTAGTAACTGTCTCCTATACAAAATTGTTACAAGTTCTGATTTTTTGATGAGACCACGGAATTCCTACTACCGTCATAGCTCAATAATTGGTAACAAACAGTTTTTAAACACCAAACCTAGATCTTTAAAAATTAAGTTTTTTTGCCATGAAAAATTACGAATAAATATGTTAATTCATCTTTAGGTTACGGAATTAAATTTATCTAGATACAAATAAAATAAGTGTAAAATATGTTTTAATAATATTTATCTTATATTGATGAATAATAATAGTAGAATTTTGTACACGTTGAACTTAAGTTTTTAAGGTCAAATACACCCTTGTTAGTTCTAATTAAACAAGGTAGTAATACTAATTTATTAAATATTAAGAGAAATACTAAGTTAGAAACTCTGTTCAGTTCAATTAGTAACGATTATTTAACAAAAACAAGCAAAATATGCTACTCCTCACCCACACGGTCTTAGCCAATTTTTTTCTCATGCCGGAAGCTTGCTATAAGAAATCCTTCAGTAGGTACTCAATGACTATAAGACCTGTGTAAGAACAGTATTGCTAAGTCTTCAATTAACAAAAATGTCTATACGACGTGAAAAAATGTTTCTTATTAGTGCAATATTGGTTTTTGGTTTGTAACTTATTAAAAATAAATCCTATATTTAATTAATAAAATAAATGAAATACATCGCCGAATCGTTTATGGCTAACCTAACTATGGTAGTCTACTACCTATTAATTTTCGTCACAATATTACTAAAAACAATAAATTTGAATTAGTACCTACTTTAACAGATGACATAACAAGTTTTCTTAATAACCATATAATTTTAACACGTGTTGCAGTATGGCTCTACGGCAGTTGTGACGATAACGGTCCTGGATATGGTGACGAATGGTTGTACTACTTTGATGAAAACGATACTAGATTCATAATGAACTTTTCTCTGATTCCTCAAACTACTGGAGGCATGCGATTTGGTGACGCCTACTTTAATCTATACACAAGGTTTGTGCGAGAAGTTAAAATAACAAAAAAGCTATAAGACACGTTAGTGAGTCGTGTTGTAGCCAGTTAAGGTAGTTAGTTGCATCGACAAATTGGTAGTGATTACAGTAAAACAAAATTTTGACAATATCAGTTTAAATATGCGGTTTTTGAATTGTCTAAGCTTGTGCGAATATTGTGTTAATTACTTTTTAGAAAAAAATGGAGCATAATTTTCTGTACTACACTTTATTAAAGCTACAATTTTTTTCAGAAATAATAACGAAACAGCAGAAAGGCTTATTATTGAGAAGAATAATAATAGATCGATTATAAATAGTAATTTCTTTGATAAAACTAAAGATGTTAAAGTTTTAACACACGGATGGCTTTCATCCGACGAAGTTAATTGGTTGCAAGAAATGAAGTTTACATTCCTTAAAGAATATGATTTGAATGTTATTACCGTTAATTGGGGTGAACTGGCGAAAAATAAGTTCTATCCATGGGCAGCTTTAAGCACTCGATACGTTGGTAAACGGGTTGCCAAATTATTAAATGTTATAACGGAATCTTACGAAATCGGTTACGAAAGTGTTCATTTAATTGGACACAGTCTAGGTGCACAGGTTATGGGTTACGCTGGAATGTTTTCAAATGGTTCAATTCCACGGATTACAGGTACCTAATAATCAGTATATTTTATTTCACCATTTTTTACCAGATGCTATAATTTTTTAAAATATGTACCACATTAACAATTTTATAAAATATTGTAATAGGAGAATGGGTAGGCATTTTACCATCCCTTTTCAGAGTATTAACTACTTTCGATGTGTGTGCCCTTTGTTTTCATGCTTAAACAATTGGTACGTAAAAAAATAAAAGTGGCTGAACCAAAGGCATAGAAAGATTAACTGCTGCAGTCTGCATGAACGGCTTTCATGAGAGATTATATTTTTCGCACCTAGTCTTTTACTAATATATTTTACGTTGTTTCCACAGTAAATGTTGTTCAAATATTGTTATGGGAACGAAACGCTCGGAAACATGTTTTTAATCAATATAAACTCAAACGTATTTTTAAAGGCTTAGATCCTGCACGACCTCTGTTTGAACTACCCAAAATGCCTAACGATTATGCGCTAGACAAAAGTGACGCATCCTTTGTTGATATTATACATACGGCGGCAGGTACCTATGGGTACAGAGGAAATTATGGGCATGCTGACTTCTACCCCAATAGAGGAACTCAAATACAGCCAGGATGTGAAAAAGGCGAGTTTACTATTTGATATTCGCATCTTAACATAAGATTCTAGACCAGCTTTATCACTATTAGGTTAGGGTGCGGATTGTATCTGAAAATAATATTACAATATAAATTATCTCTTCTTCAGAAACGGCTTGCAGTCACGGAAGAGCATGCGTTTATTTCGGAGAATCCATTATATACACACCGAATTCAGGCTTTTTATCCTACCCATGTGATAATTGGGACGACTTTCAAATCGATAAATGCAAGGACAATGCAGTTAGCATGGGTTTGCCTGCATCAAGTACTGCTAGAGGCAAATACTACTTAAATACAAGTAATCACTCAAAATATGCTGATGTTTAATTTGAATATCAGCGAAGCTAATACAAAATTTTTAATCTATAAATATAGATATATATAGATAAATTTTATGTCAATAAAGACGCTATTTCTAATCATCAGAATTTTAAGTAATCACTTTGAGTCTTGTTTTGAGAGCTGTGGGCCCAGATGTCCATTATCATACAAGTTTAATTTCCTTTGTATTGCTATATGTGTGTACTGTAACATAAATTTTTGATGCAATGCTACGTCGCTTTTTAATCTTATAGGTAAAAGTCAAATAAATAAAGGCAAATAATTTAATAAAACTTTATTATACTAATATAAACTTACTATACAAATATTCGATACGTAGGAACTAATTAACGAAAGATCTGGTATTTAAACAGTAAATTCCAATGTGAAAAATGATTAACAAATTTAAAAATATACATTATAAAGGCCTAGACTAGACAGTTGCTTTTTAATATTTTCTGCGCTGTTTACCTGAAACCAAAAAAGAGCATTAATATTTCGTATTAAAGCCAAATTACGACGGTGCCTTTGTTTCAATGTCAGATATAATTCAATGACGTCATTATATTTCAGTCGGGAAAAGAAGACAAAAAAGTAAGAATCATCATGATAAGACGGCTAGGTAGCCGTTAGTTAAATCCATATGATATATTTTCAAAATTTTATTTAAGAAACAATAAGAAAAGTTACTCGGTCCTAACAACGTAAAGTAAAATAATTTAAGAATTCTAAATGTTAAATTTTTGGTCCATGATTTCAATCCTCAATTCTTCAGGCAAGATACATAAAAAAATACTTTATTTTACTTACCATAAAATACTTATTTGAATGTAGACAATGTTGGCTAGGGTCTGCGTAAGGTTTCTACTCATTGAGTTTGTGATTGTTTAATATTAAAGAAAAAGCTATAGCAATAAATCGACAAAGTGCTTAGATACTACAAAAATTATTGTTTGGTAACAATATACTGTTTCTTAGCATTCTTAGGGCCAATTTCCCCCAAACCCAAAAATTTTTTTCCCAAGAAAAAACCCCCAAAAAACCAAATTTTTCCCCCCCCCCACCCCCCCACCCCAAAAAAAAAAATTTTTCCCCAAGATTAGGATTCCCCCCCCCAATCCTAAGCGAAAAAAGGGCCCCCCCTCTTCACACCCCCCCCCCCCCCCCCCCCCCCGGCGGCTCCCCACCCCCCCCCCTTTTTTGTGCCCCCCCCCTTTGGTGGGGTTCCCCCCCCCCCCCCCCCCCCCCCCCCCCCCCCCCTTCTTCCCCCCCCCAAATTAAAAAAAGTTTGGGGTAAAAAGTTTTTTTTTGGGGGGGGGGGGGGGGGGGGGAAAAGGGGGGGGGGGGGGGGGGGGGGGGGGGGGGAGAAAAAAAAAAACCCCCCCCCCCCCCCCCCCGGGGGGGGGGGGGGGGGGGGGGGGGGGCGCCCCGCCCCCCCCCCCCCCCTTTTTTTTTTGGGGGGGGGGGGGGCCCCCCCCCCCCGGGGGGGGGGGGGGGGGCCCCCCCCCCCCCCCCCCCCCCCCCCCCCCCCGCCCCCCCCCCCCCCCCCCCCCCCCCCCCCCCCCCTTTTGGGTTTGGTTTGGTCTTTTTTTTTCCTCCCCCCCCCCCCCCCCCCCCCCCCCCCCCCCCCCCCCCCCCCCCCCCCCCCCCCCCCCCCCCCCCCCCCCCCCCCCCCCCCCCCCCCCCCCCCCCCCCCCCCCCCGGGGGGGGGGGGGGGGGGGGGGCCCCCCCCCCCCCCCCCCCCCCCCGCCCCCCCCCCCCCCCCCCCCCCCCCCCCCCCCCCCCCCCCCCCCCCCCCCCCCCCCCCCCCCCCCCCCCCCCCCCCCCCCCCCCCCCCCCCCCCCCCCCCCCCGCGTCGTGGGGGCGGGGGGCCCGCGGGCCCGGGCCCCCCCCCCCCCCCCCCCCCCCCCCCCCCCCCCCCCCCCCCGCGGGCCCCCCCCCCCCCCCCCCCCCCCCCCCCCCCCCCCCCCCCCCCCCCCCCCCCCCCTTCTGTTTTTTTTCTTTTTTTTTTTCCCCCCCCCCCCCCCCCCCCCCCCCCCCCCCCCCCCCCCCCCCCCCCCCCCCCCCCCTTTTTTTTTTTTTGGGTGGGGGGGTTGGTGGTTTTTGTTTTTTTTTTTTTTTTTCTTTTTTCCCCCCCCCCCCCCCCCCCCCCCCCCCCCCCCCCCCCCCCCCCCCCCCCCCCCCCCCCCCCCCCCCCCCCCCCCCCCCCCCCCCCCCCTCCCCCCCCTGGGTGTTTTTTTTTTTTTTTTTTTTTTTTTTTTCCCCCCCCCCTCCCTCTCCCCCCCCTCTTCTTTTCTCCCCCCCCCCCTTCCTCTTCCCCCCCCCCCCCCCCCCTCCCCCTTTCCCTCCCCCTCCCCCCTCTTTCTTTTTTTTTTTTCTTTTTTTTCTTCTTTCCCCCCCCCCCCCCCCCCCCCCCCCCCCCCCCCCCCCCCCCCCCCCCCCCCCCCCCCCCCCCCCCCCCCCCCCCCCCCCCCCCCCCCCCCCCCCCCCCCCCCCCCCCCCCCCCCCCCCCCCCCCTCCCCCCCCCCCCCCCCCCTCCCCCCCCCCCCCCCCCTTTTTTCTTTCCCCCCCCCCCCCCCCCCCCCCCCCCCCCCCCCCCCCCCCCCCCCCCCCCCCCCCCCCCCCCTTTTCCCCCCCTTTTTTTTTTTTTTTTTTTTTTTTTTTTTTTTTTTTTTTTTTTTTTTTTTTTTTTTTTTTTTTTTTTTTTTTTTTTTTTTCTTTTTTTTTTTTTTTTTTTTTTTTTCCCTCTTTTTTTTTTTTTTCCCCCCTTAGAAAACTAATCGAAGGAATTGCACTGTTAATGTGAAAATCTTGAAAAATTTTACGTAAATACGATTATTAAGTCTTATTTATATTTTATGATTTGAGGATACATCTACACGTTATATGGAGCACATTGTTTTAAATAAGAAATGTATTTTTCAGTAACTCGGCAGCACAAGCTCAATTTGTTTTCCTCCAACGAAATCACGCACCTGTAAAAGATAAATTATCCTTAAAAATTGTGAATCATTCCTACAAGGATTTCTTTAAAAATAATAAACAGCTTTATAAATTGCTTGTAATCCGACCTTTGAACAACTTTTATTGAAGACACTTAACAAGAACTCAAAAAACGAGAGGTTATTAATGGACGTTCCATTAACTACCTATGTAAGTGCTTCATAAATACAATTCTTTAACATATGTATAATACATATAAATATAGAAAACTAAACTTCATATTACCTTGATATATGCAATATAGCTGTTTCGTATTCAGAATATTGGTTTGTACGTCATTATATTTCCGACGGGAAAAGAAGACAAAATGAAAAAGTATTCATCATAAAAGTGTACACAAATTCTTATATAATATAATTTGCGTTATACTTACTTTTGTCAATGTAGATACAAAGATGTAACCGAAATAGCACGACGAGCTGCGATTTACGCCTTCTAAAAAAATACAATTATTTGAGTGGCTTTGTCAAAAAATCCCTTATATTACGACATTCTTTCACATAATACAGGAAATTTTTATTTCCAGGCCAACGTCAAGACAATATTAAAAATAACTTTATAATTTAAATTAGACGTCATTATTATAAAAGCATTCGTACAATGATTTACCGTTTTAGTTTTTAACGGTGCTAGCTAATTTAGAAATGTTCACAAATTTATTGTTACGATTTGTAAACTACCAGGGTCTTTTGGTTGAAACTTTGCCTTTTAATGTTTTCAGTTAGTTTAAAGCGGCAATATAACTTATTAATTTAAATTTACCTTTAAAACAGTCCCAACTTTTTCTCTAGCTAAATACGGACACCTGAAAAACAAACAAAATTATTATAAAACCTAGAATATATTTTTATTGTTTAATAAAAATAACTTTTAATTTAAAAATAACAATATTTTGTATAAATTATAAGTTAACAATGTAGATATAAAAGTGAGAGATCCAAGAAAGATAATTTGAGGTTTAAATAGTTTTCCAACTTAAGTAATCGATTCTATAAATCGATAACTCAGCTGTACGCACAAAAAATAAAACCCAATGATGCATTCAATCGGATCTAGGTTTAAATTTATTGGAAATTAAGGAAATCGCGTGTCAAGACTGCCATGCTCCATCTGGCATCCAAATAGTTTAAGAAATTATTATAATTTTCATTTACGATAATAAAAAAGTCAATCAGGTTATCAGCAACTAAATGCAATTTGTTATAAGTAACAACTTAAATTCATGTAGTAAGGAAAAAAAATTTTCAGGTATTATATCCATTACATAGTTGCCATAATATGCAAAAATATTCCAAGGTTTTTTTTAAACCAAATGGTTTTGTTAACATTAATACTAAGGTGTACTAATTTGAAGATTTTCCAGACAATCCTTTTGACTGTAATAGATATATTAGTGTCATAAAGATTAATATTTGCAGATGTAGCATTTAAGCAGTATATTATAATAAAAAATGTTCTTATGTTTGAATTGAACTTGATGAGCCTTCAAAGAAACGTAGCGTTTTGTGATATATAACATTCCAACGTAGAAAAAAAATTGTAGTACAATACCATTGCGTAAAGAGTTGGTTAATAACATTTCGTATGTAATTGTTGTTGTTGAGGTCAAAAAATTATATCACATTATGGCAATGAGCGTCGCTTAATTAACTTACCGCTTATAATTAATATCATATGCGTCTGTGTAGATATAAGAAACGGGAACGGCATAACTGTTTAGCTGCAGGTCAAGTCTCTTCCAGTTAAACTTTCTTCCTGATCTCCTCTAGATAATGTAGATGGTAAAAATAATAGCTAGAAAGGCCGGAAACATTCGAAGGGTAGTATTTTATCTTGAATTTGATTTAAGCATTCAAACTTAATATATGTTTATATGGAAAGATCAATAAACATCACCTAACATGATCGAACACTTACGTTTACTTTGTTTTATATAAGTCAAGGAGGAACTACTTGGATTTTGTATTTTCTGGTTCGTTAAGCAGGAACAAATAATCAGTTTT